AGAGAGAGGGAGAGAGAGAGAGAGATAGTGCTTGCTTGATTTGTTGCCTGTTTGTATGATTGGACATTGTGGATAATGAGTGAATGAGAAAGAAAGGGAGAAGGAGAGAAAAAGAACTAATATGATTTGCTTGATAGCTGTTTCCAATGAAAGTATTGATCCAATTTTAATATTAAAAACTGTGTTACCACTCACGTTGAATGTGTCCACTGCGCCAGGTGGTGGAGAATGCTGTGTTCCCTTCCAATCCCGAGGCCCCAATGTGGCGTCATGTGACGGTCACCATGTGCATTGTGGGGCTCACAGCCGCAGTCTCCATGGCAACAGACTGCCTTGGCATTGTCCTGGAACTCAACGTAAGAAATTGAAGTTAAAATTTGATGAGTTAATGTTTTATTGTCTTCCCTTGAAGTGGAAGGCTCAAATCACATGACTTTATCATAGTTTATGGTACCTTCTTTGACTGACATAATCATTTCAGTTTTACAACCCTGTCTCCGGAAAAATACAACATTGTGTAGACTATTATGCACATCTAACTACGTCCATCCATCTTTGCAAATTACAGGAAACTTTAAGCAGCTGCATTATTACATGTTTGAACAGAGAAAAATACGTTCAGATACCTTCCAACTCATTAAGGAACCAAGACCTCCTCCCTCCCTCCTCCCAATCAAAAAGTGAAAAGCACCCCATGAAACTTTACATACAGCTTTCAGTTTTGATTTGTACAACTTGACACTTGTCTAGGGTGCCACTTTCTTGTAAATGTTCTCAGTGGGGAGAAAGGGCCCATTCTTAACACTGTATTGGTCCTTTTTACCATGACACATCACAAGTTTTTTCAGTTTTTCCCTTAATGTCCCTTCTTAACTTAGATCGTAAACTCTGTTTAAGGAAGATTTTAAGTATAGAGTCTCATGCTGAGAAAGCAAAACTAATGAGCAGGAAGTGAACAAAATAGTCCCTCCCAGCTTACTTAATCTGTGCTTTTTTCATTAAGTAAAATCATTCTCCAAATGTTGCTATGAGTACATTTCCATTTTCGGTTCATTTCTATTCAACCCAATCAATGCCTTCTTTCCCCCTTAGACAATGCTACTTTTTCTCTTTTGATCAGTTTTCACCCTACTCTTGCAGTCCCAGCCTGTTCTTGAATGGCTGGTGGGCTTTCTAATGTTATCCTCTTCTCTTAATGGTTTTCAGTGTTTTAATTCCTAAGTGGTACCTAATGAAAAATTATCAATATCATGAAGTCTTACTGAAGACAGCCAGATCAGTACTTCTTCTCATCCACCCACCCCTCCCCCCTCTCCCTCTGTCTCACTCTGTCTGTGTGTGTCTCTCTATCTATCTGTCTATATATCTGTCTGTCTGTCTGTCTGTTTGTGTGTCTATTCTATCTATCTATCTTCTATTTATCTATGGAATAAGGGGGGGGGGGGGGAGTAAGGTGGAGGAGAACGGAATGGGGGAAGGGAAGTGGGGGGAGTAGAAGAGAAACGGCTCAGCAACTCATTAAAATTTAATTTTCATGTGCTTTTTGTTTCCTTGCATGCATTTGGTTTGTGAGGGGATAAAAATGTAATGCGTCTGTGCATATATGTCTGTATGGCCATGTGTGCATTTGTGTTTGTGTGTCAGTGTATATGTGTGGGTATGTATACGAGAGAGAGAGAGAGAGAGAGAGAGAGAGAGAGAGAGAGAGAGAGAGAGA